AGAAGGAAGAACAACAGATGAAAAACAGCCTTTTGGTTGATTCTGGAGCAATGCACGCTGTTCCTGTCATATCAGTCTAAAAGTGGGAGAATAAATGCAAAGTAAATAAACCAAAACCACCGTTTGACATTAAAAAGATCTGCAGAATTGTTCTAAATGTGCAAATAATCCTGATATCTTAGATTATCAATGGCAGAAATATGTAAACGGTGGCAGTCTAGTAGAGATGCCAAACAAAGTTATTGTTCTGGGTTAGAGCGTTATCAGTCCATTGTTTACTTTTAAAAATAAATGCTTTCCACTATTTATAACGGATGGAAAATGAATCGCATGGATTCTGGTTTAAAAAAGGATCATATTGAACTGTTCACATACTGGTCTACAGCATTAGTTTTAAATGTACAGCAACTTTGGAGCTTTTTTATTTCAGTGTTTTATTTCAAAACTAGTTTTTTTATTATTTTGGTCGTTTAACATTTTATTCATGTAACTGCATGAATTGGAAGTGAACAGAAGGTGTAAAAACATGCATAGCAGCCTGGAGGAGTGCTCCTTGTTGTTCCATGTTGAATAAAGTTTCGTACCTTTTCAGTCTCTTATAAAAAATCCAGTTTCACGATGGCGGACGCTGAGAATCAGCTCATGGAGACTTCAGAACAGAACGGAGACGAAGAGCAGAACGGAGCCGAGCAGGAGCTGATGGGGGGCGACGAGAGCCAGGACAGCGGCACAGACGGCGGGAAGATCGACGCCAGCAAAGGAGAGGAGGATGCTGGGTAAGTGTCCAGGCTGCTGCTTTTACCTCAACCTTTGACATTAAATGGAGCGGCGTTTCAGGTCAAATGTCTGTTCTGCTTTACAGGAAAATGTTTGTTGGTGGCCTCAGCTGGGATACCAGTAAAAAAGACCTGAAGGATTACTTCAGCAAGTTTGGGGAAGTCTCGGACTGCACCATCAAAATGGACTCCAACACCGGCCGCTCCCGAGGCTTTGGCTTCGTACTCTTTAAGGACTCTTCCAGTGTGGACAAAGTGAGTCCTGCTTGATGATGTTCGCTCCTTCAGGTGTGCTGCCTAAGGTGAATTAGTCGGGTTTCTGGGTGTTACAGACCTTCTGCTTGTCATGTGTTGCTGCAGGTGCTGGAACAGAAAGAACACAGACTTGACGGACGTCAGATCGACCCAAAGAGGGCGATGGCCATGAAGAAAGAGCCTGCTAAGAAGATCTTTGTTGGGGGGTTGAATCCTGAAGCATCTGAGGAAACTATAAAGGAATATTTTGGAGCCTTTGGCGAGGTGGGTATCCCCTCCTCTGAAGGAAACATTGACACGTCTGGCTTCACTGCTTTGACAAACTGTCTCCATATATTTATCATTAAAAAGAATTTCCTTTGTTTCCGTTATTTACGTCGACCCATTTTCCTGCAGATCGAGGCTACAGAGTTGCCCGTCGACCCGAAATCCAAGAAGAGGAGGGGCTTCATCTTCATCACTTATAAAGATGAAGCAAGTGTTAAGAAGTGTCTGGAGAAGAAATACCACACCATCGAAGGTGGCAGGGTGAGTCCTCTTTAATCGTCTCTGCTTCCTTTGGCTCATAGCTGCTTGGCTAAAATAAAATGTCTTAATGGGTCCCCAGTGTGAGCTGAAGATCGCCCAGCCAAAAGAAGTTTACCAACAGCAGCAGTATGGGACGGGACGCGGAGGAGGATATGGAGCACGGGGAGGAAGGGGTCGTGGAGGTAAACCCGTTATACATAAAATGCTGACGCATTTTCCTGGAGCTCAGACCCCAAACCAACAAGCTAACTTTGAGAACGGTATCAGAGTTAAAGGTTGATCTGGGTTATGTGCTCACTTTTAGGTTTTAGTCTTTGCTCGTTCCTATGAGCGATGTAAGCCTCCATTAGGAAGTTTATCATTTTATCCCAGAAAAGATTGATGCCAGAGAGACTGAGGCTCTGATGGAGCCTCGGCTCTGGCATGGCGGAGCCTCGCCTCCAGACCTGGTCTGAATGAAGTCAACTGTTCCCTCAGGTCAGAGCCAGGGTTGGAACCAGGGCTACGGAAGCTACTGGAACCAGGGCTACGGCGGGCAAGGCTATGGCTACGGAGGCTACAGTTATGACTACTCCCCTGCCTACTATGGATACGGCACCGGCTATGACTACAGTAAGCAGACAGTGATGGTGAACTTTGGTAGTTTTATTAATGAAATTATCGGTCATTTTTTAGGTAGTTTGAGTGTTTTCATTTCAATAACTTGATGGTTGAAGTAGGTAGCATTGAAATAAATAGAACATTTCCCCATTCCTTCTCTCCCAGTTAGTCCTGGTTCAACTGGTATGGATGAAATGCCTTAATGTGCTGACGTTTATGGGGGGGTTTAGTGCAGTTTGAGATGCAGGAGTCGTTTTCCTCCCAGATGCTTCGTTTAGGAGACGTTAGGAAGTTAAACGCCAAAGTGTCTGACTTCCATGTTGTCTTTGTCGCAGACCAGGGGAACGCCAGCTACGGTAAAACCCCGAGGCGGGGGGCGCACCAGACCAGCTACAAGCCGTACTGATGATCACTGGGTGGCAGCAGGTACGGTCTGATCCGCTTCACAGTTGATAGTTGAGCTTTTTGGGGCCATTTTATGTTTTACTGATTGTTTTAGATCAGAGGTCTTCAACAGGGGGTCCGCGACCCCTAGGGGGTCCGCAGAGGTACTGCATGGGAGTCGCGAAGTTTTGGTTAATTAGACTTATATTCCCCCCTGCAATATTTTCCACTAATTGAAATGTCTTTAAATCCACATTAACATGAATTGAACAGACTGTAGTAAACAGATAAATGGAGGCAGAAGATGTCTTTCAGTCATTAATGCAGATCTGCGTTTCTGAGTAAAAATAAGTTAAATATCTGACAAAAGAGGGGAAATTAGATTATATAAAAATGTTTTATTGTTGTTCCAATAAGTTTAATAGTAAGAACAGAAACCTAGAATCTAGATTTTTAGTTCTTCAAAAAGTCAGAGAAAAAATATCAAGATTTGATGCATAAAATATCTAAAAACATGACTTATATTTTTAAATAGTCTTCAACATAAATGACAAATGAACCAGAGAAAAGAGGTGAAACAGGTTTAGGATAGCTGTAACCTAAACCTTTTTTTTTTTTTGTGAATTTTTTTCACTAATTGAAATATCTTCAAATCCACATTAACATGAATTCAACAGACTGTACTTTAATAATCCCAGGGAGAAATTGGTTCCATTACATTACTCCATCTGTAATAGAGTGACTATAGAACCAGTGTGATAGAACACTATTTCATACAATATAAATAATTAGGGGGTCCCCGCTCCATCTCGCCATCAGTTTGGGGGTCCTTAGCCTGGAAAACGTTAAAGACCCCTGATCTAGATGTTTACCTGCTTTAGAAAAAAACTAGTTTATTGGATTGTTAAAATAATCCTTAGAGACTGAAAGTTTATTCTTTAAAACCAGGACAGTGGGATCTAATGGGAGTTATTTATTTTTTACTTTGGGTTGTTAGTTCTCTGTTTGAGGCTCTAAGGAGCAGATATTTAAAGTTTTTTTTTTTCCCTGTAGGACTCTGGTGATCCAGTCATACCGACGGCAGGACGGACGCACTGGGCTCACTGGACCTCTTTTATGACGGAAGACCATTTGTACAGAAAACATCCGAAATGTAACTTTTCCATGCATTTTTTTGTTTTTTTTTAGCCTTTTTCTTTAGGTTTTGCTTTTCCCTTCGGTGTGTTTTTATTTTTTTTCCCCCACATTTCCACAGGAAGTGTAATTTTTACTGTACTTTTTGGTACCGGTTTTGATTCTAATGTATTGTAAGGGTTGTATTTTACATGTGTGCTGGCTTTACAGGTGGAAAGTCGCTGCGCTGTAAAGGAGCTTTTTTTGACAAATAAAACCAGTTTTCAGTAATTTTTTTTTTTTTTTCTGATGCTTGCAGGTTTGAATCAAAATGGGCTTTACGTTGAATTTCTTTTAATTTGGGGGGCCTGTGATGCTCGTGCCAGAATAGGTGAAACCATTTGAATGAGGCTGCCGTGTGAAGGCCTACAGCCGTAGGATGTAATGTGGGTGTTTCTGTTTAGAGTATTTAAGTACCGCTGATTTTAGATTGTCCCCCTGTTTCGTTTTTCTTCTTTTGGACAGATTTAATCTTGCCAGTGTCGTCCTCTCAGCCAGTGTCTCTGGCCTTTATTAGTAATAAACACATTCACATTTGGTAAAATCTCTGTTCTATTTTGTTGCTTAATGTTACTGTTAAATATAACTGCTTCAGTATAGATATTAAACCTGCAGCATTAATGGAGCTTTCTATATGCTAGTGTTTGAATCTCATTTTGTTAAAGTTAATGGAAAGTGAAACGTTTCTTTTTACCCAAAATCAACCTGTTGCCGTATAAATTCATCAACCTGTCATCCAGCAGCTTTTAATAAGATTCTGGGAGGACTTGTGTCACGTCGGCTTCGACTGGAAGAACTGATGATGGAATATTGGCTTCAGTTTATCAACCGGGACTAAAGTCTTGATTAAGATGAAGTTTTTTTTCTCATTGATCAAACCCACTTTCAGGTTTTTTAAAATGGCTAATTAAACAAATTGAATTCTGGAAAAATTGCAATTCATGAAACAAAGTGCAGCTTTAGATTTTTTTATTTTTTTTGGTGCCTGGACAAAAGGGATATTAACACCAACTTAAAGTAAAAAAAAAAAAAAAAACCAGTTACCTAAAGTAAATGAAATTTAAAATCAGCTTTGAAATGAAACTAGAAAGATGAAATATGTACATTTATTTAACATCCTGCATTTGAACCATCAGATATTCTTTCGCTGCCAGAGTTAAGTCTTATTTTTGGTTAATGGAGGCAAAGTTCTGATTCACTTCAATCTTCATGTTACATCAGTTCCTCTGATCATATCAAAACACTTTTGCCCAATTCAGTTCAGAAATACACAAAACACTTATCAGGTGTTGAAAATATATTTTTACTCATGCAATTATCTAATATTCAAATGGCACAGTACAGTAAAGATGGGGATGACAGAAACAGCTGACCTACAAGCTTTAAAGTCAGGCTGTTTTCATGTTCAGCCACTAGATGTCCCTCTTCTAACATCTGGCTGTTAATGACAATGTATTTAATAACTGGGTAAAAACTTTCCTATATTCTCAGTTCTTTTGTCTCATTTTGGTTCTAATATCTTAAACTCTATGTTCCATCACCAAAGTTTATAATCTGACAAAGCCACAATTTAAAGGTGGACTTTATCTGATCTCAGACTAAACTAAACTGCCGTTGGTTTCTTACCTTTACATCTGTGTTAAACTTTTAAATAAATGACTAGCGGATCTGGAAGCCGACATATCTGTAGAGTTTAAACCTCGGTTATTACAGGTAAAACTGCCACCTTAAACCTTGCAGGCTGCCTACAGCCACTGAACCACCCTGCTTTCTGTCTACCTGCTGGCCTTTTGGAACCTTCAGGGTTCCGTTTCTCCTCTTTATTCTCTGTCTTCTCCCTGGAGATGACGCTGTACCGTCTGACCCTGATGTCCCTAAATAAAAACGCTGTGTGGCTTTGCTGTGAGTTGGACTGAGGAGCTTTATGTGTTGAACATTGTCCTGTTCTCCAGCCGCCGTCCTCCAGGAGTCCTTCACGGGCCATCCGGGCTGCGGTCAGGAAGGAGTCCGCCTGGCTCTGCTCCGGCGGCGCTGACCTCGCATTGCTTGATGTCCATCTGTGGCTTGAAACAAAGTTCTTTGGATCTGTGCTGTCCTCCATATCCTGCAGCCCCGCCCTCTGCTGCTGGGGCTCTGCAGTGCTGCAGGTGGTGCTCATCACAGCTGATGAGAGATTAGATATGAGTTTAGTAGATATGATCACTTTTTAATCAAATGAAACCTTTAGATAACTTGCAACCAATTTAATATAATCAAACGTCTTATTTTTTGAGATTGTCTTTTACTGGACTATTCTGTCATTTCTGAGCCTTCAAAATAACACTTTTAAGGTAATATAGTTGGTTTAGTTCAATATGCTTTGATAGTTTTGATCAGCTCGACCACATTTTAGTGTTAAATGTAGTAGAATTATTCTCTAAAATAATTTTCCCACATTAAAATCCTTTTGGTAATATTTTTCTGGCATCACTTTGATCCAAATCAGCAACAATTCTGTTCTGTCAGTTATAGAACATTTTCTAATTGTTTTCTGTTTTTCTGTATGATCTTGTATCTCTACCCAGGAATTATTTTTCTAGTCTAAATCTGTTTTTTTATTCCCACCATGTTCTCACTTTCTCCAGTACTCCCAGTCCTGCCTATATTACTATTTTATAGTTTGGAGTGAATTTATTTTCATCTTCTTTGCAGACTTTCTTTCATCAGTATGTTTTGCCCTCCATTTAATTTTGGAATTAACTTATAAGTTCCACAATTCCTCCACTAGGGGGGGACAAATCCTGTTATTTTCTACCTTGTTGAAGCAGCAGGGAGTTAGGATCTGCCCTCTCTGAGCTGGAAGGCTCCTCCTTCTGTCTCTGCTGGAAGCACTTAGCTGGACCCTCCAGATCTCCTGGGAAAAAGAAAAAAAGATAGATGAAGTTATCTTTTGAAAGACATTTTCCCCCTAAAATACGCTTCCTAATTCCTTTATCCTTAATGTCCACCACATTATGGGAAATTCTCACCTATTTTGCATACCCAAATGGAAAAGCATATAACTTAGGAGCTGTAAGCCCTAATTACATGTGGAATACATTATTTGAAAGCGAACACCCTCTAGTTTCTTGGGTGAGTAGAACACAGACCAAGCTGCAGTTCAAAAATGACTCAAACTTGTTTTTTAACTCATAAAGGATAGGTCTTTTTTGAACAGCAGTAATAAAGACATCCTTGAGAAAAGGCAGGTCTCATTGTATTACATTTTCTCTACATCATGTCAACCACAACTGCAGAAAATTCCAGACCTCTACTTACAACAGTTCCAGAGCTTTGGGTTTGGAACTTTTGCTGCAGCTTGGAGCGGCGCTCAATGGCTCCACCTGCTGGTGTCTGTGTTTCTAACACAGTCTTGTCATGTTGCGTTTAATGGCGGTTGGCAAACAACTTTTCTGTGTGCATTACCGCCATCAACTAGTGAAGGGTGTGGACCAGAATGGCCCTATTCATAAAGATACTTATATTCATTTATCTATATCTATGAGATTAATTTACATATACTCAAACTTCCTAATATTTGCTGTTATTTAAATAAATGGTGAATAAAATATTTTTTTTGACTTTTTCTGCAGAATATCTATCTCATCAATTTTAACTTTCTCCTTATTTAGGTCTCTAACCAAATTCTTCTTCATACTTCTTACAATACATCCCTACATGTTCTACTGTTTCATCTTGTCCCAAATATTCATATTTGCCTGACATGTTTCCCTATTTTGAATAGTTTATTATTTAATTCTGAATGTGCAAATCTAAGTCTTGAAATAACTGTTTCCTCTCTTCTGCTTCCTTCTGCTCTCCTCATTTTCAGACTTTCCATGAATCCTATAAAACCATCTTCCTCTTCTTTCTTCTTCCCGCTGTTTTTGCCTCCTTCATCGTTTGTTTAATGATATTTTAAATTTCTGTCTTACTTAAGTTAATCCTCATATCAATGGTTTTATTTTGTGATGCTTACTTAGCAATCTTGTTTGCAATTTCATTTCCTTTAATCCCTATATGTTCTGGAAACCAAATAAATATTAAACTAATACTCATCATTAGAACTTGATATAAAACTGGCCGTATTGAAATTAAAATGTCTGATCTGCTTTCCAAGGCTCACAGAACCAGGTATTCCCAGGCGGTCTCCCATCCAAGGCCCAACCCTGCTTAGCTTCAGAGACCGGGAACGCTCAGGAAGGTATGGCCATAAGCCTCTCTAACACAAGCCTGTGATGCGGTACCCCTTTAAATAAACGACACACATTTGGGCTCATTAGAAACCTTATTGGCTACAAAGCCCAACAGCCCACATGGTCTTCACCAATAACACCAGAGATTAAAACGTCAATCATATCGCCTGTCACTGGCTGACAGGAAGTGGACCGGAAGTGAGATTTTCGGGGACTATTGATATCGCTTAAATTGCGTCATAAAAACATGCAGAAACTTGTGTGTTGTAGATAAGAAGACGATGTAAAGAACCACAACAAACATCTGAGGATTAGAAGTAAATATTAGCAAGATGCTGAATAAGCTATGACCAGCTAACCTTTCTGATGTCAACAAATGATATGGTCGATTTCCGCATCATAGAATATTTTTATTACTAATATGCTGGATTATTTTTAATCTGTGGACCCTTATGACGAATGGAGCATAAACAATAGAAGATTGGATTTATAAAACAGCTTCTGGATGCCTTCAAAGTGACGTAGCTTTGTTTGTTTCCATTTTGCCATGCTGCTATATCTATTTTAACTGTTCTTTGATGCTCGCTGTGTCCATGAAATGATCTCGGTGGTTGAATCTTTCCAATGATGTCTAACATGTCTATAATAGTAAACATTTTACCGCTGGAATCTTATGCTGTCTGAGTTGTTACCCCACTTAACCCCCACCGGGTCGCCGGTGACCCGGTGGGGGTTAATGAGGAGGGTTCTATATATCTTGTGTTGTTAAATGAGACAAAAAAAAAACCCCAAAACATAAGGCTTTTTTTAGAAGCAAATATTAAAAAATGTTACACCAGGATTTAAATTAGATTTATTACTTTAGTTTCCATCTTGAAATAGATAAATACAGATCTTTTACATTTATAGCGTTTAGTTGTGTGTTTAGGTACTGGAGGTGACCATGAAGACATGAAAGTATCTCTAAACTCACACAATAGATGTGTAACCTGGATGAGGATACAGCATCGGTAGAGTCCATCATTATATCTTTAATGATCAAGCAGCATCATCAATCAAACATCATAATTTACGAATTTAACAATTTGGATTATCTTGATAATCGAATAGCAAAAAGTGCTCATTTTATATTTATACATATATATATATATATATATATATTTATACATATATATATATATTTATACATATATATATATATTTATACATATATATATATATTTATACATATATATGTGTGTGTGTGTGTGTGTGTGTGTGTGTGTATGGAAGCTAAAATAATGCTGCTTTAGGACTTTTGAGTTGAACATGATATATAGATCAGGTTTCACACCTTAATTGCAAAATGGATCTATTTTATGTGCAGTTCTGACCAGACTTTCACTGCCTCAAATAACAATGTGTCAGAAGGCGAAGGTTAGAAGAGAACTTAAGGATACATCAGCGTTTAACAATGCAGGTTTGACAGCAGTGATTTAAGGTTTAAAAACATTATTAAAGGCAGATAACATAGAAAGAGAACTCCAGAATAACTCAGAACCACAAAGTAACCTGAATGGATGTCAAAGAAACATGAACTAAAGGTATAACTGTCTTATATCTAAAACCTGAAGCTGGTGGAATAATGAACATAGTTAAAAATACACTTCCTGTAAATAAGCCATGTTTCTGCCACCAAAGAGGTTTCATCTCAGTCCTGCTTCAAAACAAACATCTTAAACAGAAACATTGAGTTCGTCACACTTCCTTCTCATTGTCACCATATGTCTACATGTTTTCAGCCGACTGTAGAGTATGAGACATTCGATGCTTCAAGAACAACCGGATTCCATGTGGTGTTTTCTTTTCTCTGCTCCACTTCAGCTTCACAAAGCTTCCCTACTCTGGAACATGTTTCTGTCTCTACTTTCAAAACTTTCAAATGCCTTTCGACTCCTCGCTTTAGCTTAGAGAAACAGTCCAAATAGTTGCTTTAGATTAAATCTGCACCTAAAACAAAGTTTGCAAAGTCATCAGTACTTTGAATGACCTGTCAGAAACAAACCAGCATTGAATCAGAGGGACTAACTTGGTCTTTTGGTTTCAGACCTGCTAGTATTTTATGTTTGGTATCAGTTATCTTAACTGGTTGGTGTTTTTCTGCAGATCCCACATGCATCTGCTTAGCATAAAGGTCAAAACAGAAGAAAGAGATTACACGTTTACCAATTAAGATATATTAATGCAGGTTTTGGCTCTCTTTATAAATTAACTCTGATTTTTATCTACGCAAGCAGAAAACAACAAGTCACAAATTTGGCTGCTAAGTATATAATTTTAATGAAACTTACTTGATTTGAGTTGATTTCTGCTCAGATTCCTCTCATTGAATGGACTCTGAGTTCTGCTCCGCTTCTCTTCTGGTCTTTGCTCCCAGCAGCCGTTAGCTGCCTGCTCTCTCCCTGCAGAGTTCATTGGGTTCATCTATGGTGGATGCAACAGGACGGCTGCTGAACATGTGGCCTCGGCTCTGTGTGTGTGTGTGTTAGTGTTTAGTGCAGACATTTCCCAAATTCAGTTCTTGGGAGGGAAAATAAATGGAGCTTAAAGGTCTAGGACTTCATGTGATGCACGTCATGCCACGGTTTCCCTAAACTTTCATATATTCAGTACTTTACAAACATCTTGATGAAATTTGCTGGTGTACATTTTGTTTCACTGCCTCCTCCTGCTGCGTTTCCAGCTGGTTTTCGTTTCACAGTCACGCTTAGAGCGGCCTGAAGCTGCTGAGTCGAACATCGGTTGTAGCTTTACTGACTTAATTGAGAAACACATTTTTTGAATAAGTTTAAGCTTCTGACGACACAGTTGTACAAAAACGTTAAAAATATTCATAGACATTTTTGTCATTGATAAGGTTTAAATGGGACAATTTGTATTGTTTAATTTTATTTAAGGATATTTTCCTCTTCTTTAATCTCAAATGTGAGGTGAGATGAGAGGCGCTAGCATATGTGATTCAATGGTGTCTTTGACACGATGATTATTAAAATCCCTGGCTCACTATTACTGGGTGTGTCAGCGTTTCTTGCACTAATATGGCAGCCAGATCTCCCTAAAATGCCACACGTATTCAGACATTTCACAAACCTGTTGATACAGTAAAAAAAAAAACCAAACATAACACTTATTTTTCTCTGTTAACTTGTTTTTTTTTATACTGCATGCAGGAAAATTTAGAGCCTCAAACAGTTCACACTGAAGTCAGATACAGGACATCATGAAGGTAAGGTGAACCACTAAACATACGCACGGAAAACGCATTCCCTAAAGACTCAGTTTTCTGCGTTAAGGCTTGCAGAGTGAACGTTGCCCAACAGAGGAACCAGTAATTTCTGAGTTTTCTTCAAGAGACTTTTTGAAAATAATTTTCCCCGTGTGATTCTCTGTTATTCAGCACCCATGTTTCATATGATTCAGATGGATTTAACCCCATTGCGTGGAGTCAATAAAATATTTAACTTTTTTATTATTATTCCCTTTCTTAAGAATAAAGAGAAATCCAAACCAATCAGACTGTCAGAAGCTCTGAACTTAGGACCCGATATTCAAGATCAGGGTGATTTCAAACAAGCGTTTATTCAATCATAAACGTGCGGCTGCTCATCAGCTGGGGCGAATTCACTTATACAGCTTGTGGTGGAAGCTGCCCCCAGAATTTTGAGTGACGAACAGAGCTGGTTAATGAGCTGACGTCATGCAAACGGCGAGGAGCAGCAGTTCCATGAGGGGAAATCCAAAGCTGGAGTCGTTGCAGAATCAGATTATCAGGCCAGAAGATCAGAGAGTCGAGGAGGTACCAGAGGAGAATCCAAGTCAGAAGAATAGTCCAAGTTTGGTCAGCCGGCAGAATCCAGGAATCAGTCCAGAACAGATCAGACTAACAGAGCAAAGACAGGGGCAAAGCAAAAACTGCACGTCCCATAAGCTGAAACAGGTCAGCATCAGAGAATCAGAGTGATATATAATCTCTAGCGTTACTCTCACAAACAGCTGGAATAATCTGGCACTGATGGCAGGCAAACAGGCAGCATAAATAGCATTAGGAACCAGGTGGATAAGATGAACAGTCATGAAGAACTGGGCAAATTAGACAGGTGAAAGGGTCAAACAATCAAGCCAGCCATCAGCGCCAAGATTATGGCATAACCCCCCCCCCCCCCCCTCATGGTCGGATTCCAGACACCCCAACAGGTGGATCAGGGTGATCCCTATGGAAAGCCCTAATCCATTCCTTATCCAGAATGAATCGGGCTGGAAGCAAGGACCTCTCCTCAGTTCCATAAACTTCCCAGTCAACTAAATACTGGAGTCCTCTGCATCTCCTTCTAGACCGGGAGACGGTTGACCGTGTAGGCAGGGCCCCCCATCAATGAATCGGGTGGGTGGCCTGAGGGATCCGTCCTTCTTTCCAACAGTAAAGAAGCCTGGACCAGCAGGAGAAGATGAGGGACGAGCTATAAGTGACTCTGAGATGTGTTTCAGAGAAGGAATACGATCTACCCCTGGGGGGTGTGGTACCTGGCAGTAGATCTATCCCACAATCATATGGCCTGTGTGGAGGTAGAGCTGTGGCCTTACTCTTACTAAAAACTTCTCGGAGGTCATGATACTCCTCAGGGACCTTAGAAAGATCAGGATAATAATCAGAATCCTCACAGTTAGCTAAACTCAGACTTAGCTGAACGTAGGCAGGAGCTGAAACAGGAAGCAGCCTAATCTAACACTTCCACTCTCTGCCAACCAATGTGTGGGTTGGGTTTGGTTAGCCAGTTCAACCCAGAATGACAGCAACCTGAGGTGAATCTATAGTAAGAAATGATAACTCTTCAACACGGTTACCACCCACAAGCTCCACCAGCTCTGTCATGAGAGAAGACGGATTAAGTTGATGCCCATCCAAGGCTAATACCTTCTGAGAGTCTGTTGAAGTAAGTAGTTTAATGCCAAGTCGCCCGGCCAGGTCCCCATCCATAAACTCGGTATCAGCTCCTGAGTCCACAAAGGCTGACAGACTATGACTAAGTGACCCAACAGTCACAGGAAGCAGAACTTCTGAGGAGGCAGATGAATGCAACGAACTGCTGTAAACAATGTAGAGGCTTTTATTTTGCGGAGTACCAGGTCTCTTATTTTGAAAGTCTAGCAGGATTGTGCCTTAAGCATAGTGTCAGACCCAGCAGTGATATGGAATCCATTTCCTTGTTATTGATTGTTATTCCACTCGATTTAAATTATCTAAACTACATTTCGTTGCTTTGCACCTGTGGCAGTGTAACGACAATAAAGTTGAGTACTATATTTCTATTCGATTCTATTCAATAAGGTTAATGAATGGAAATGTTTGTCAAACCTGTTTGTCTGGTTAGATTACATTGAGATCCATGTTAAGATGATCGGCCAGATCTCCAAAACACTTCTAAACAAATGAGCACCAAGATCAGAAATGGCTTTTAAAGCAATAGTTTCACCGTGATTGACAGCCGTCCCTCCTCCTCGATTGTGTTTCATTTCATATCTACGTGAAATTCAGAAAAATATTTAGGATGATGGTAAATATTTTTGTCACACCTGAGTTTCTGCTGATTTCTATTCGGAAATCAATTTTAAGATGTCGTAAAAATCCCTCCAAACAAATCAGCTCTCTACGAAAACTGGAAACGGTTGTAAAAAAAGTATATATATATATCTCATGGCCTCAGATAATGGACTTGTATCTGTGCTCGTCCTGTTGGATCTCAGTGCTGCATTTGATCCAGTTGATCATAATATTCTTTTAGAAAGACTTGAATATTTTGTTGTTATTTTGTTTCATCTCCACTGTCGCTACAAGCATGCTTGGTGTGAGAAATTGCTGAAGAGTCAATATGTCGATATAATCAGCTGGGTTCCCTGAAGGGCTTACACTGTGCGATTTTTTGCCCTTTTCGATCGGTCTGACTATCAGCCTGACGAGCCTAACGAGGGGCGATCAGCCTCTAACGACCACCTCTAGATCTGGAATTTTAAGGTTGGGAGAAAATCAAACATGTTGGAAATTCAGTCGGTCATGAGGTGGTCGTGGACAAATCTGTCAAACTGTCAGACCGTAGTAGCCACGTTAGCTCAGCCATGTCTTTGTCCAAATCCGTCGTCTCCTTTTCTTTTTAGGGCTTTCAGCACTAAATCGCCCAAATATCCAAGGCAGCGCGTTTCACTCTAGTGAGCTTCATGTTCCTCTGCTACTGGTTTGGCTTCCAGATAGACGAGTCCCAGTAGCACCATCTCAATGCGGAGCTGAGTCCCACCTGGTTTTTAGACGTACAGTGAGAGCAGGTAGATGGCATCAGAGCGTTTGGAGCTGTTAACGTTTAAACCCTGCGGTTTAGTCGTACAGTGTGAACTGTAGCTGCGTGCAACGATTAAAAAAATCGTTCGGTGTATACCTGACGTTTGATAGAAAGCTTTGAACGATTCGGATTGTATGATCTGGTTGAATTGTCTCTATACAGGTGCTGGTCATAAAATTAGAATATCATGAAAAAGTTGATTGATTTCAGTAATTCCATTTAAAAAGTGAAACTTGTATATTATATTCATACATTACATACAAACTCATATATTTCAGATGTTTATTTTGTTTAATTTTGATGATTACAAATGACAACAAATGAAAATCTCAAATTCATCATATCAGAAAATTAGAATATTGTGAAAAGGTTCAAAATTGATGGCCCCTGGTGCCACACTCTAATCAGCTAATTAACTCAAACCACCTACAAAAGCCTTTAAATGGTCTTTCAGTCTAGTTCTATAGGCTACACAATCATGGGGAAGACTGCTGACTTGACAGTTGTCCAAAAGACGACCATCGACACCTTGCACAAGGAGGGCAAGACACAAAAGGTCATCGCTAAAGAGGCTGGCTGTTCACAGAGCTCAGTGTCCAAGCACATTAATAGAGAGGCGAAGGGAAGGAAAAGATGTGGTCGAAAAAAGTGTACAAGCAAGAGAGATAACCGCACCCTGGAGAGGATTGTGAAACAAAACCCCTTCAAAAATGTGGGGGAGATTCACAAAGAGTGGACTGCAGCTGGAGTGAGTGCTTCAAGAACCACCACACACAGACGTATGAAAGACATGGGTTTCTGCTGTCGCATTCCTTGTGTCAAGCCACTCTTGAACCACAGACAGCGTCAGAAGCGTCTTGCCTGGGCTAAAGAGAAACAGGACTGGACTGCTGGTGAGTGGTCCAAAGTCATGTTCTCTGATGAAAGTAAATTTTGCATTTCCTTTGGAAATCAAGGTCCCAGAGTCTGGAGGAAAAGAAGAGAGGCACTTCATCCACGTTGCTTGAAGTCCAGTGTAAAGTTTCCACAGTCAGTGATGGTTTGGGGTGCCATGTCATCTGCTGGTGTTGGTCCATTGTGTTTTCTGAGGTCCAGGGTCAACGCAGCCACATACCAGGAAGTTTTAGAGCACTTCATGCTTCCTGCAGCTGACCAACTTTTTGG